GGTGGGTGAACAGCATGCCGTTGCCGTAAGCTGCTCGCTCTTTCTTTTTCTTGGAAAGAACAAGCATGAATGGCTAGGAGAGTAGGAGTAGGGAGAGATAGCCCTGCCTGCCTGATGATGGAGCGAGCTGTTGCGTCAGAGCAGTGATAACGGCTGCGGTGGTTCAGCTCCGGATCGGAGGTGACGAGTATCGCCGGGCAGTCATCACTCATCTCATTCTCATCTGGGCTGTGTTTAGTTCCCATTTTTTTTTTCCAAAAAATGCTACGGTAGTCATTACATTGAATTTTACGATACGTGCATGGAGCATTAAATATAGACGAAAAAAACTAATTGCACAGTTTGGTTAGAAATCGCGAGACGAACGTTTTGAACCTAATTAGTTTATGATTGAACACTAATTACCAAATAAAAACGAAAGTGCTACGTTAACTAAATTTCAAAATTTCGCAAACTAAACACAACCCTGATGCTCGTACGGTCGACTCCAGCATTGCATTGCTACATGCATGTGGCGCTGCCTTGGCCGCGTTCGGCAGGACTCGTGGCTGCAGCGGCTGATCTGTGGTATGGATTTGTTACGAGAGAAAAACTCTATCAAAAGTATGTCTCGCACGTGGATGGGAAATGTAACTGCTACCACGCGTGGTTATTCTGCTCCTCGATGATGCATGTGTCTCTGGTCAGTGTGTCATGGTACCGCCATTGGCCTATCTCTTGCTCTTCCTCTTCAAGTACGATGAGTACTGGCTTCAGTATCCCCTTCAAGTACTGAGTTGTGTGGCTAGCCCATTTAAATAAACTAGATAAAACCTGCAGGTACTCCGTACAAACACCATACGGATGATCGTCATGTTCGTTTGGACGGGTTTGGCTTATAAGTTATAATTGAAAGTATTGTTGACTGGTTTGATGTGATAGAAAAATATTATTCATTAGCTGATGAACCATGACTTATAAGCCAAATACGACCAAACGAACCAGCTGAATATATATATATATATATATATATATATATATATATATATAATAGTACCTTTATTTGAGAAAGATAAGACTACTGTTATCGCACATGTACGAAATGAACTGGTAATTCTTTATTTGTTGAGAAATTAAAAATTGCTGGGTTGAATTCATGTACTATACAAAAGACAAGCCTATGGATCTGCACCTGTGGGCGTGTGCTATTATTGCAATGCTTATTTTTTGGAACTCAACGTCCACAACTGGAACTCTTCGTGCCCTATCTAAGTCCGGTAACAGCGCGTACGTATTACTGGTAGTCTGGTACATACAACGAATCGACGATTGTCCCTGGTCCAGGCTTCGGTCCTGTTCGTTTCTCTTATAATCCGTCAGTCGAAACAGTATTTTTCTCTCACAACAAATCAATCGAAACAGTGTTTCGATTTGTTTTTTTCGAGGCGAACGGGGCCTTCATGGGCAGACGCATGTTCGAGGTAACTTGTACCAAGTAGTAGCCTTGTGTGCTACCTCCATTGATGATTGCATGCATGGGAAAGAAGACGTTGAAATGCCACAACAGTAATTATTAATTGGGCATATATTTATCATCATCGTGAACTTAAACTTTGTCATATTTCCTTTCTGCTATGGGACGACGACACGGCACAAGAACAAACGCACAAATTAAAGAGGGATCAGAGGCATGGTAGCGCAAATCTAGACCTCCTCGCTTGAACCACCAGAGCTTAAGGTACTAATCAGTGTTAAACAATTGCTCCTAGCTACGTGGTACGACTAGGTTTGGACCTATCAGGCCTGACCTGACCAGAGCGTACGACTCTCGCCGGCCTTTCACGTGCATCCATGATCCAACCCCTGTTGTCACCAACCTCGCCGGCCCAGCCAATGGGGCGCCGCCGTGCCTTGGAGACCGGATAAGGACGACGATCATATTCATATCGACGTCGCTTTGTTTGCAAATGTTTAGGGCACGGTAAATTGCGTGGTTACTTCCCAACAACCATGTTGTTAGGCTCTTAAGCATCCAGCTTTTGACTTCAATTTCGCCTAGCTCCTTACTTGGCCATGTAGTATATATGTGCTCTGTCCTTTTCTTGCATTCATCGTTGCTCCTTTTCACTCTATTTGCTGATGACTATGTATTCCTGGCCTGGAATCTCTGCCCAGCATATTATTAAATTACGCGAAATTCTAGGGTTTGAGGCTTTCGGGGGCAGGGGTGCATGTAGTGCTAAACAAAATTAACTTTGGCAGTAGTAAAACAAACAAAGGGCGGATGGAATAAAGAGATGCCAAGTGTAGTAGTAGAGCACATTTACCCCGGGCTGAGTGCATGAGTGATTCCCTGTCACATGCCTAGCTACGAGGGCTAGCGGAGAGGCAGGCCATTTTGGCATGGCATGGGCTGATGCGGATGGCAGCGCACGCACCACACATCAGCACCACCAGTTGCCAATAGATTCGTCTTAGTCCGTGTCTTTAAACAAAACAAACAAATAAAAAAGGCCGCAAGTACGAGAGCCGGCGTTGGCTTTGGCCATGCCCATAAACTAAGGAGTGCCATCCTTATCTCAGACACCTCCCGGCCCTGTTTCCCCATCTCCAACTTGTGGAATCCCGACGCCATTATAACTAATCCCCTCACCCTCCTCCAACACCGCGCCGTGCGAGTGTGACCACCAAACCTAATCTCCTCGGGACACGGGCTACACGCCTCCTCTCCGTAATTTGATTACCTTAGCGGCCTAGCTAGAGCTAGCTAATCGGATCCCTGGAGGGAGCTGAGCTGCTGGCGTCTACTAGGCATGGTTTAGTTTAATGGCGGAGGGAGATCTCCGACGATCCGCGGCCGCGCCCGGATTGGGCAGCAGCTCGGCGCGGTGTCGTGGGCGCCTGGGAGGACGACAGCGACTGCCCGAGGCCGAGCCGGGAGGTTGCTAATACCGATGCATGCTGCTCGTCGTTACGCGTGCGCGCGCAGCTAATTTGGCGCCTGCCTTAGCTGACTTGTTACTACTACCGGCCAATGGGTCAGCTTTCGGACGTGTTAGCTTAACAGTGTCGTATAGGTCAATGGGTCAAGGTATTCAATGGAGAAAGAAAAGTCAGGCTGCCGTCCTTTGATTTCAAACCCTAGTCAACTGTCTACTGTTTCTTTCTTCTGTTCATGTTCCTGGCCTGCAGAGGTTTTACAGTGGTACCGGCCTGCAGAGGACCGGTTACTACCATATCACCAGTAAAACGAAACAAAGCACTTGTAATAATAAGTTTTTTATATACAAACTTGTAATTTCTAATGAGTTTCTTCATTCGTCCATTAATGCAAGGCACATTATGATCTATCATTTTGTTCAGGTTAGCTACACTAACCATGAATGTTTTTATCCATCCAGGTTAACAATTAATGTTTTTTTGGCTAGCTATATACTATACGAGCCCCTCCTCCACTCTCCGAGCAACACGTGTATACCAATGCCAGAACTAGGGCTTGCACCATCATGGCAACAAGTGTAAACTCGCGGCTTTGTTTTAACGGCAGCACTAATGCCACGTTAAACCGGAATCATGGCCCGGCTTTCCCCGAAAGGCGCCAAGTTTTGTGCCGCATTTTAAGGAGGGACGACGGGTTTAATTGGATGGCAAGCAAGCTTCAACCCCAAGGCTGCTGCTGCACACTTGGCATGTTCCAGTCCATGGTTTCCCATGGTTTGTTAGGATACTCCTCTTCTTTTCCCATGCATGCTAGCTAGCTATAGCTAAAGCAGCCTTCACCAAACTTAGCTTGTTGCTCCTCCCTAATAAACTAATATAATCCCAAGTTGCACGGTAAAGCTAGCTTAACCACAAGCCACAGAAGCAAAGGATCGGATGATGGGCTTTGATAGGGTTCTTAGCTAGGGTAGTAGGGGACCTTGGAACATTCAGACAAATTAAAGGCGAAAGGCTAACATTAATCGCCACTAAACAACTCGCTAACCTTTGAAGCACACATATACTCCGGCCACACGCCGAGGCTCACACAAGTGGCCATCTGGCATGACGTGGACAGACATCGCTGACCTGGCTCCTCCCATGAGGCGACACGTGGGAGGCGGGTTCGGGCGACCGCGTCGCCGGAGCGAGGCGCGGACGCCGAGGCGACCTCGAGGAGGGCGATGGTGGGATTCCGAGCTTAAATATGACCAAGTGTACGTTAAGGCTAGCTAGCTTGAGTAGAATAAGGGTTTTGCCAGTGAGGTTTTGAGGTGGAGGACACGGCCATGGCGAGGCGAAACGTGGCCATCGTGTCGCGATTAGTTTATTATGGCCGGGGCCTGTCTTAATTAGCTGTCCGATTAACCATATTGGCCCGTTCGCTTCGCTGAAAAAACAAACCGTCAAACACTGTTCCGGCTGATTTGTTGTGAGAGAAAAACACTGTTTCGACTGAAAAACAAGCTGAAAAAGACGGATTATAAGAGAAGCGAATATGACCACTTGTTTTTTATTTGGGGGCTCACTTCTCGAGGGAAAATCTTTATCGTGTGATTTGCTATACAAGGCAAGTATGTGACATAAGGGCTTACGCATCATAACCATGTCAACACAACACTCTCTTTCGTGTTTTTGTATGCGTGATAATCAGACTAGTACGATATATATGATCATCCATGCAGCTAATAGCATACATACATATATCTTTTCAACTCGTGTGTGTGTTAAAAAGTTTGCAAATGCAAAGTGAAAAAACAGTAGGTACTTGCATTATTACTAGGTTTATTTATGCAAAAATCAACTATGTTTATTTCTTCTAAAAGTAAGATCAGATGCAAAAGTTCGAGGTAATCTTGGATTAGCAGGAAAAGAAAGCAAGATTAGAAACTTAATATTCCCCGTATACTTAATCATATCCACTCACCGTTTTAATTGACACCCGCTACTTGTCCTTGGAATAAAGAAACTTATGTTAGGTAATCAGATGCAAGGTTCTTTTGTTGGGGAATAAAAGAACAGCCACATGAAATGGCAAACTGCTAGAACATTGTAAGCTGCATCGTCTGTACATACACCGCCAGATACCGTACATTCAGAAAACAACACAGCAGAAGTTGCTTTACATCTAGCCCAATCAAAGTGCATTCTGCAATACCAATATGATACATGTGAGAAAAGCACTCCACACCAGAAAGCTGCACAATCTTATACAATGTATATACAGTATACACCACTTGTTCAGTAGCATCCCAATGCACTTTCAAACTGTCCTGACAATCACAAATAAGAAAAATGACTCAGGTTTACTTCAGTGACTTGCTACACCTCCCTGGTATCTGAATCCTCCGAAGATGGCGAGCCCAGCCTTCTATCAGGCAGTGCTGGCTCTGGTCTCACATCGTTTTCACTGGCCTTGTGCTGGTTGCAAGCCTGAAATCTGAAGCAACATGACAGATGGTCGTTAACGATCCCGGCAACCTGCATGAAAGAGTAGATCGTTGTAGGTCCAACACACTGGAACCCTCGGCGCATCAAGTCCTTGCTTATGGCTTCAGCTTTCGGCGTCTTTGTAGGTACATGGCGAGCATAGCGGAAGCCGTTTGTGATGGGCCTGTGGTTCACAAAGCTCCAGCAGTAGTTGCTGAACGATCCAAATTCCTTAACCACCTACAGGTAAGCATTTCGAAAGTTTAACACACGGAGTACTGAAATTATGAAACATATGGTACTGCACATAGGATGTTTGATCAAATCACGGTGAACTGCAGATTACGTATACAAGAAGCCCATGTATCACATTGTTCAGATTATCAAAGGATACAAGATGTGGCCCATGTACGAAACGAGGTCTCTGCCTCTTGGGATTTCTCTTTGCTTATGGACATGAATGGCTGTTTTAGTGATGTGCTACTCTGCTGATTGCTAAGTTGCAAAGCAAAAAAAGTAAGCTGAGTGTGATCTCACTAGTATTTTTTATATGCATTGGACAAATGCCCCAAAATTTCTAATGTTGCCAAATTTCTGATACCGTTTCTCCCCTTTGTTGTTAAATGCCAAAGAAAATGACGAATATGAAAAACTGAAAAATATTAGCATTCAGCCTTATCAGAAGGTTAATAAGAAGAATAGCACCCTGTGTCCTCGTCCATCAGAGATAAACTCAACAAAAAAATTTGATGCAAATGCAAATAACTGTAAGAATACAGATTCCTGTACCTTCTGCATTTGCTTGGCATTTGTTATAACTGCGCGAATCTTTTGCTCTGACAGCAGCACGATTCCATTTGATCTCAAAAGGTTTATCTTCTTCTCCGTAAATTCAGATACCAATGAAAAGTTGAAGCCATCGAAAATCTCCCTGGTACAAATGCTGAATCCATCAGTGGGCATCCTAACACCTCCGCTATGAACAGAGTTTCAGTTTTGGGCAGCATACCTGAATTCCTCCCTCTTGCTCAAAATAGAAGGCCAGGTGAATTCACCTAAGGCTTGTGAAAGTGTGAGCAGCTCAAATAGCATTCGGTCATCATGAATAGGAACTCCCCATTCTTCATCATGGAATGCGACATAGAGGGGCTCTGAAGAAATGGAGTTACCATACCATATAACACCAAAAAGCATGATATTAGTTGATAATGGCGAGCCTATACTTTCAAAAAACTGAAAATTCATAAAAAGTGCGAAAGATGCACATAACCAGGCTGTTCGCTTGTTGGTTTCAGCCATGGTTTATCAGCCAGCCAACAGTGTTTTCCTCTCACAACAAACCAGCACCAGCCGGGCTTATCAGCCCAGAAACCAACCAGCGAACAGGCTGAATGACTATTTGTACAAAATGCACTTCTGTCCTTGGTATTCTAAAAAAAACCTAATTCGGGTGTTTAGTGTTGCAGAATGACTATCTGTACTAAAGTGTAGAGATGCATGTTCAGTTCATGGATAACAGTTCTAGAGCTACACCTCGTCAATAAAAATTGCGGTAAAATTCTTGCCGTCCTTTCGAAAAAAAAGTTCTAGAGCTACAAACTCAGCATAGTTAGCACTAATTCACTAACGTCTAATAGTAAATGACAAAGGAGAAGTCTCAATTGATTATGAAGACAAACCAACAGAGTTACAAAGGTAGTTGAAATCCAACTGATTATGCTTCAACCACAGAGCAAATGACAAAGGAGAAGTCTCAACTGTAACGCACACGTACTGATCATTTGCAATGTACTAGAGGAACCATGATGAAATCATGAAAATGCAGTTCTATTTCACTTATTTTAAGGGAAACAAAAAGGAGGAACCAGAAAACTGTGATTAACTCACCCGAGTTTGCAGTGATCCAGGAACACCTCTTCTTCTCCGCGTTCGGGTCAACTGTCATCAGAGGAGGCGAGCTCCTGCGACTAAGTGACGGGATGAGCCTTCCATTCTTGCCCCGCTTCTCTTGATCATCCAGTCGTCCCTTCGCCTTCGAATTGGCCGGCGTCTTGGCTCTCTCAGCTAGCTTCGCCCTGGCACTGGCTACGTTGGAGGAAGCGGTGGGTAGGGCCATCCGGATGCGGCGTACCTCCGGCAAGGGGGACTCTGACCGGACGCCCGGCATTTGCAGTTGCAGAGTCAAGATCCTCGAGCTTCGCGGTGTTTGTTCAGTTCGGCAGGGACGACCGGACGAGCGGCTTATTAACGCTGTTTGAAACGGATGCGGAAAGACGGAGTCACCCCCTGCCGCGATGTTTGAAACAGGAGGCTAGGGCCGCCGTGTCGGGCTGGGCGTCGCCGTCGGCTGCGGGTGCAACGGCTTCGGCACCAAGGGTGGCGTCGCCACGACGCCTCGTACCGTTACGCACAAGCATTGCCACACGCCGCCCCAAGTCTCAACACGTAGTCAGTCTCCGTCGCGCGCGCCGTCCCATTTGCAGCCCAGGCTTCCGCTGTTTGCTTGCGGCAGCCGGCAGAGGCGCAGAGCTCTCGTCGGCAAAAAGATCTTCGCATGAACATTCGACAAGTACTCTGCAGTAGTCCTTGGAGAACCACCTTCCAGATGTAATGTAACAATGCAAGGAACACGACAAGACTAATGGACACCTATATAATGGTAGAATGTGATATCAGCAACAGAATCGGCACTGGATACGGCAAAACTTATGATACCAGCATGTAGAGTAAACCTGCAACCATTGTCTTCAAACCAGTTGAGTGCTCAGGGAAATGAAAATCACTGATCACTTTACAGGAACGTTCCGAATTGTTGTCGGGAAAGTAACCAGGACGCAGATGAGTCCAACGAATCTAGTTATATACAAATTCTTTCATCTCTCTGACTGCCTGTTAGCACTTGATCTGAGTTTTCCAGAAGCACAGTGAAAATTGCAATGCAGGGAACTGCACAGTGTAACTAAGAAATAATAATGAGATGTCAGCCCCTCAGGTCAGCCTAGATAGGATTCGCCAAACCTCCAGCCTCAGGCAAAAAATTGGACTCGATATCAATCAAGCACTGCTGGGAAGCGAGAGGTCACACAGTAGGTCAGCACTGGCAGATGGCCCACTCATCTGGAGATGGGGTGTTCTTCACCACCTGAAGAAAGACATGTCGTGATGTTACAAGTCAATAATACAGCAGTTATGAAGTGACTGGATAATAGATGCGGGAAATAACTGCTTACCAAGAAACACGAGGTACAATGCTATTGCAAAACCACTTTCCATAGGTGACAGTTGCATCAACGATTCATATGTTCATATCATGCTCTTGGCAATCAAATTATTTCTCCGAGAAGTACATGGTATCCTGAAAATGAAGCGGCTCGTTTCCCCAAGAGGTCCATCTGGGAAACAACTCTCTGGCAAAAAGCTCGATGCATCTTGAAGGTTTAGGACCTGGGATATATTCTGAAAGTAATTCTTTTACAGATTAAGGGTCAACTAATTGAACATCGTTATATCCAGCTAAAAAGGCTATATTACATTACTGTCTATTCCAAGTTATAAAGGCAAGGGCACTTATGTATTGCAAGGAAGGATACTCTCAAGGGGAGGTTTCCTTGAGTGAGCACCTGGGACACTCATGATTACTTGGCTTCCTTCTAAAAACTTGAAGTTCGACCCTTGCTTAGCATTTGTGTTCTACATAAACAAATCCGGAGAACATAATCAATGAATTTAAGAATACAACTGCACAACTAAAGTCACAGTCAAGATTCGGTACAAATAAGCTGGTGGGATAAACTTACAACATTTATGTAGCCAAGGAGGAGGCACTCATAAGGCCTGTGATGGAACAAGTCTAAATCACCAATTAGAGAACCATCAGGTTTCACCTATAATTGGCAAAGATATTAGAACCAAAATGCAGAAAAATAGTAATGTCGCTATAAAATTAACAAATATATCAATGGAAAATACTGTTGCAGCAGGTGCCAAATGAGTATCAGATGTAAACCTTAAGCCAATAAAACACGGTGGGATCTTTCACTCCCCAAGAAGGAAGCAGTTTTTTCTCAACAAATGCCCGCAGTTTCTCCCTATTTGTAATCCACAAAACAAGAAGCGCTCCGGCTGGATGGGCAAGTTCTTGCACTGGAAGATACAACAAATATCTGTTGGGAAGTGTAGGATACCTGTGGCATAAACATTTAAATGAACTATTTATTACTCTATAAGGTTTCTAACTAAGGAACCGTGACTTGGGGCTCTTGGTGGGTTTCAACTCTAGCCTACCCCAACTTGCTTGGGACTGAAAGGCTATGTTGTTGTTTGTTGTTGTTGTTGAAGGTTTCTAACTAACCAACTATAAGTTGAAAATTACAATTCAAAAGATGATGGACGGCGATGAACGTGAACACAGTCTAACCATAAATGGTTTAGTTTTGTAGACACAGCCAACTCATGCTTTACTATAAGTTCATAGAACAAAATGATACAGCCTAGACACTCTATGGTCAGCTAAGGGTAATAATGATATCTGCACTACATTGGACACCATACAAGAAATTTGCACAGTGGCAAAAAGAACAGGCTTCAAGAATTGGAGCACATATTGGAAAGTTATGGTAACATGCAAGCATCACATTCTGACTTGAACGTCAGCTAAAGAGCGTATATAAAAATGTAGTTAAAACCAAGAGCATGTACAGTAAGCAGAGTGCAAAACCAGCCTTTGTGATGTGGACCAAGGCTTAGTCATTAGCAGGTGCGGAGCCAAAGTATTAGGAATGCTGTCACCTTACAGCACGCATGTCTATCGTAGCTATGTTAGTGACATCAATGGTTTCTAACTCTAGATCCGCCCTGGTCATTAGGCTCACCGAGTGCTCTAGGCACTCTAGCTTTTATTTACTTTACAGAGAAAAAAATACGAAAATTACTGTTAAATACTTGTTCACTTCATGTTCATAGATAAATCACATCCAAAAAACAGTAAGCTTACGCTTCTTTCTGACGAACGCATCCATTCTCCCAAGGCGGGTCAATAACTATAAGATTATACCCTTGATTTGGACTACCTAGAGGAAAAAGGGTAACACCCAATGAATTAGGGAATCAAGTAAATGTGACAACACAATTATCACAAGCATATAAATATGTGAGCATATTTAGCCTTCATTGGTGCCACATTGTCACTTACAAGGAATGAGATCTCTAACCCGTTTGAAGTCAGTCTTTATGTCAACGGGTGACCCAAAGCATGAAAAGGCATTTCAAAATTAAGGACAGATCATTCAGTTAGCTGAAACTATATGCAACAAAGAAAAAGGGTATCTATGTACCATCAAGAAGCAACTTTCTCTTGGTAAAATATAATGCCTATTCTGGAATTCTCCTTCTGCCTCGTCGATCCCTTCAACACTGATTATGCTATTAAATAGAGGAAATGATGTCTTTTGGGCATGAAAGGAACCTAAGATATTAGAATCAATAAGCACTGCTTCAGCATTGCATCATGTACCTTCAAACATGGTAAAAAAGAATAAAACCATCTGTTTCATTACTTTACCTTCCTCATTGCCCTGAACATGGGGTTTCCGGAAGCAAAGAGTGATCTCATAGAAAGGTGCTCGCCATGAGGTCCCAAGCTCAACGAAATTATTCTCAGAACCACTTCCTGCATCAAGTGTGTGCTCGTTGCCTTTGATTGTCTTGGAAATGTACTCCAGTAGATGTTTAGCCTTAATGAGTGATTCATGTGCTTTCAACAGTAAAGGCCTCGCTTCCTAGCATAAGTTAACCACAACATCAAGTTCAAGCACTAAACACTACTCACTACGTTTGCAAAACAAATTCCAGAGTTCTTTTCCACAACCTTAAACAAACATTATGTTTTCAATTGCCACTAGCTAAAATTCTAAATCCCCTGGCAAGTTGTCAAAGTGAAGCCATGATCCAAGTAAGAACTCAGTTACAGCAAGACTATCAGTTTGAACCCAATTATGTTACCATCTAGTCAATTTAGCATTACTTTGCCACAGTAAAGCAGTGCAACACATCACCTGGTGCCGGGCTTCAGCGATCTGCTCCATGGGATTGAGCTCCCTGGACTTCGGCTTCTGATTACCCTTGCGCTTCCTCCGTTTCTCGGGCCGCTCAATCTCTGGCTCGCCTTCCTGATGCGGGGGGCCGAAGCTTCGGGAGTAGTACGCAGAAGGGACGATGCGGAAGCGCTGGTAGGACGCGTTGAGGAGACGGACCGGGTCGAGGAAAGTGGCTCCGGTGCTGGTGCCATCGAGGCGGTAGACGCCGGTGACCTCAAACGACCGCAGCTCGTCGCAGACTTCCATCTGCGGCGGCAGCGGCAAGGGTTTGGGAGAATCTGAACTCTGAACCGCTGGATCTCCTTCCTTCGAGCCGCCGCCGCCGAACAGCCCTGGGCCAGGAGGCGGAGCGAGCGCGACGAGTTTTTTATTTTTTAGCCTTTATTTTTGGAAAAAATTTCTAAGATTTCAAAATCTAAACCCTTAGCTCGGCGTCATCGTCGCTGACGCTGAGGTCTTGAACTCGACACAGACGTGACGGTGACTTAGCAGGCAGCTCGGCGCCATAGATCCTGGTGCCAAGCTTAGAAACTAGATCCTGACGCCGAGCTTGACGCCGTAAATTTCGGCGTCGATCTTGGCACTATGATCTATGGCGCCGAGGTGGTGTTTTAACCCTGTACTTAACCTTCCTGTTCGAGCCTTCTTTCTCTTCTTTCTCCTCCCTCTCAGGTTTTTCGTCTCCCCACTTCATCTTACCTCACGAATCGGCATATTGGACCTCGAAAACTTTGATTTGATCCGTAGATCTTCGAGAGCAAGGTATCCTCGTTCCCCTTCTAGTTTTTTTTTCACATCGATTCGGTATATATTAGTCGGATTTTTCAACCTAAGAATCATCATTACTTAGGGTTTCATGTAATTTTTAATATTTGTATTATACAACCGTAGAATTCTACCAAGGCGTGGAAAAGCTAGAAAATCTAGGTAACCGCAGCGCATGTTGTTATGTTATGGGTTCATTGTTATGCATCAAATGAGAAACCCTAGGTTTAGGGTTTAATGTTAATTACTTTCGGTTCTTAGAATGAAATTGTTTGTATTATAGTTATGGTTCTCATTGACATTAATTTGTGATGTTTTGATTTTTGTTTGTTAAATTACAACCGTTTTGTTAGATGCAAGAAATGTATCGGAAGGAGTTTTGGTAAAAACGGGGTCGTCCTCGAGAATTATACCCCGACGCGTCAAGCAAAGATGCCCCCATCCCTACTGACCTCCTTGTCCTTAACTGAGACTGTGATTTCCCGGCCGACGTGTGTCGGTGTTTCGGACCGGGGGGTCCTCAACCAACCAGTGAATTTGTTCTGCGTGCTCCCGATCCGGATGGTGATGCAAAGAGACACAAGGTTTATACTGGTTCAGGCAATCGAGGCCCTACGTCCAGTCTGAGAGATCGATCTTGTATTCCTTGTACCGAGGTGCTCGTAGTAGGAGGTTACAAGCTAAAGGAGAGAAGGAGCTGATCCTAGGTCTCGGCAGGGTGCCGTGCGGGCCGCTTGAGACGTTGCTCTCTGGCGGCAGGAGTGTGCGTGTGTGTGTGTTACAAGGTGTCCCCCCTTAAAATAACCCAGGTCCTCTCCTTTTATAGCATGAAGGGAGGACTAGGGCGGTACATGAGCTAACTATACGACGTCAGGTGAACAGAGGCGGCGTGTCCGGCCTCAGAGCCTGCTCTCGTGGAGGTGTGGCCGCTGGAGTGGTCCGCCCTGAGCACTGGGCGACGTGGCTGCCCCTATCGATCCTCGTGCGTCGTGGGAGCCTGGGACTGCCTCGGAGTGGGCGCGGCGGTGGACGTGCAAGCCACTGTGGACGGACTACACGCGAGGCCGAGACTTGGTCGGTGTCGAGGTTGCACCATGGTGGAGGGGTCTCGGCAGCACGATCCCCAAGATGACCGAGACCTTGGTGTACGGTGCCGAGGCCTCGAGTGGGCGGCCGATCGTGGGTACAAGTGTTAGGACACGAAGGCCGGTAATTCCTCGCCAGCACTCGCCCCCAAATTGTATGGCGCAGATCGTGGATACAAGTGTTAGGGACACAAGGGGCTTTAATCCCGTCAGTGCATACCCTGTCCCCAAAATGCAGATGATACTGATGCGACCTTGGGTCGCGGCCGCCATTCTCAGGGCGTGGCGTTGAGCCGTCGTCCTACTGAGATTGCGGGAGTGGTTGAAGCATTAATGGGACATGACACGTTGTCTGGAGGGTCGGTCGAGGCGGGGGGGTGACAGTCATGCACCCGGCCTCGAGCGACACGGAGAATGAGGCCTCGCCACGAGACGGAGATTAGGTTCCTTGCCGAGGCCTTGCGCGAGACGCCTCACGATGACACGGAAAATGTACCTGCCGAGGCCTTCCCGAGAGCCTCGGGCGAGACGAAGACGGCGCCCGCCAAGGCTCGGCGCCCGCCGAGGCCTATCCTAGGGAGCCTCAAGGTGAGGCGGTAGTTTGTTCCGAGACCTCCCGCCGAGGCTCGAGGCGAGGTGGAGGAGGGCTCGGTCGTGGCTGGTGAGGGGCCCACGGCTTACCTTCTAGCTTTATTTTGATGTTTGCTTGGGGTACCCTGCTCTAAGGTACCCGACAAGAGCCTCTCGAGCCTCGTGGTGAGTGCGTGCACTCTCCCTAAGGGTTCGTCGAGGCTGGGTTTATGCCTCGCCTCAGAGGAATTGGTTTGTTTTCGAGGTTCCGGTGGTGCGCTGAAGCATCCGCCGGGTGTAGTTTTCGAGCCCCGGAGGAGTGAAGTTACTCCTCCGTGGGCTTTCTCCACTTTCACGCTTGAGTGATCGGTTCTTATTGCATTTGCCGAGCCCATAAGCGCAAGTTCGGGTTGCGGGGGTCTCGGCGAGGTTGCAAAAAGGCCCTCTAGCCTCCGCATGGAGCGAGAGGTTCGTCGTGGGGTCCCCCGACGTTGGGTATGTCCTCACGCTTCCTTTCGCTCGAAGGAGGGGTGGAATGTGCCATGCTACCCTCGATGGGCGCGAGCGTGACACACTTCGGTGAGTCACATATCGGGTAGTCCGAGTGGAGGCCCGAGCCCGCTCGCGCTAGGGGACGGCTAGCGGTCCGAGACGCACTCCAAAAGTACCAGAGGATTTCTCTAGTGGGTGCCGAGGCTGCCTGCTGGGCCTCGGTGGCTCGGTGCCTCCCTACGGTGGGATCCCATTCGATACTTTCCTCCTATCGATCTCGGACACGACTTAGGACGCCCCCCAGCGATCGCTCGCTCGGGCTCTGGCCATTCAGAGGCTCGCCTCAAGTCATCCCCGACTCAAGCCTCTGGGCGGCCGTCGAACCCTCTTGGAGGCCCAAATTTCAACCCTGGACCGTGAACGGCTCTGTGTGCCTTTATCGTGTTTTTGTCTTGGTTTTTGGGTGCAAGAGGAGCCCCAGAGCCTCCGCCTCGGAGCAAGAGGACGGTCGGGGGTCTCTCCTAACTTTTTCATTCGCCTCACATATCCTTTTCGCTCGGACGGAGGGTTCGCTTCTTGAGCCCATTCTCGTCTCTTGCAAGGTCGCAGAAGAGCCCCAGCCTCTCAAGCAGAGCGAGAGGGCCGCCGGGAGTTCCTCCGACTTTTATATGCCCCTCATGCGTGAGGGTTTGTTTGTCCAGCCCATTCTAGTCTCTTGCAAGGTCGCAGGAAGATCCCCAGCCTCTGCAGCAGAGCGAGAGGGCCATCGGGAGTTCCTGACTTTTTATACGCCCCTCAGCGGAGAGGGTTTGTTTATGAGAGGCCCTTTGGGCGCGAGCCCCGATCGTGGGGGTCTCGGCATATTTGCAAGAGGAGCCCCTAGCCTCTCGATAGGGCGAGAAGGCCGTTAGGGGTTCCCCGACTTTTATGTGACCCTCGCGCTTCCTTTTTCGCTTTCTAAGGAGGGGTGGAATGTGCCTCGCTACCCTCGATGGGCACGAGCGGTGGCACTTCAGTGAGTCACATCGGGTAGTCCGAGTGGAGGCCTCAACCCCGCTCGTTAGGGGACGGCTAGCGGTCCGAGACACACTCCAAGAGTACCAGAGGATTTCTCTAGTGGGTGCCGAGGCTGCTCGTTGGGTCTCGGTGGCTCGGTGCCTCCCTACGGTGGGATCCCATTCGGATACTTTCCTCGCCGGTCTCGACACGACTTTGGGCGCCCCAAGCGTTTCGCTCGCTTGGTCTCGGCCTCGAATAGGCTCGCCCATGCACGCCCTCGACTCATATCCCGGGGCAATTGTCGAAACCCTTTTGGGTCCAAATTGAACCCCTAGATCATAATAGGCTCAGAGTCTTGCCTTCCTATGAAAGGAACAGCCATGGAAATATCTTCCCTATTGGCTCTACCATGCAGTGGCGCGCTTTTTGAGGCGCTTTTATTAGGAGTCGAAACGGTACTGCCCGTAGAGGCCAAGCATGGCGTGGTGGATGGATGTAACCGCCCTCGCATTTAATGCGGAGACGTATGGCGCGTGGGCGGTGAAATCGGCTCGTGGTTAATCACGCCAGATTGGGGGGAAATCTCCCGATTTCATCGCCATTGCTTTCGCCTCCTCCCCGCATAAATACCGGGAGTTTTGCCCTCCTCATCTTACCTTGCTCGCATCACGCGCCGCCCCCGCCGAGCCGCCGCTAGAGCAAATGAAAAGCCGAGAAGGAGAGGAGGAAGAGCGAGCCTAGGGAGGAAGCGAGAAAAAGTGAGAGCGTGGGAGGAGAGAAAGACTCACCGCCGCACTGATTCCCCAACAAGCACCCATGGTCGGTGATATCGTTGTCGCCGAGGCGACCCCTCGGGATCCGGCTTGACGCCACCGAGGAGATGCTCCAGATCGCTTGTCGATGGTGGGCTCCTCCGCCCGGTGATCGACTCCACCAGCCGGAATGGATTGTCTCAGACGGCGAGCCGGAGCCGAGGCCTCGCGACGGCTATGTCGTAAGCTTCGCCTCCTTCCACGAGCGTGGCCTCGGCGTCCCGGCATGACCGTTCATGCGGGGCGCTTACGCACTACTACGGCGTGGAGCTCCACAATTTTAATCCCAACTCCGCTGCTCAAAGCGGCTATCTTTGTTGCCGCCTCATGAGGGGTATTTAGGATCGCGCCCATTGGGAGTTGTGGCTCCATCTGCTCCGGGCGGGGCATACTACAAAGCCGCCGGGCACGCCGGGCAAGAGGAAGGCGGCGAGGGCCGGAGGCTGCACTCTCCAAGTGCGTCAGACCGCCGCACCTCTACATCCCGCCCAACTCAAGCCCTCCAACCGCCGTGGTACATGAG